GGTGCTTTTTAATTTTAGATTTACAGATTGCTGAATCTTGTTTTAAACCCCAAGGAACATGCAGCATGGACAGAAATTTCAGGGTGTTCGAGACTTTCTTACCAGTTTGGAATGTGGACTGTATCTCCAAGCTTGAGTCTGCTCCCATTGCATGTTGTGCAATGGGGAAGTCTGCAGGAGACCCTGAAATATAACTGCCCTAAGAAAAACAAAACTCCATAACGAAACAAAGGCACTGATGTTCTGATGTTTCTGTTTCACAGCATTTGTCTCTTTCCATCTCCTGTCCATTGAGTACCATATTTAATTCTTCTGGAAAATTTTCTTCTGGTCAAGTATGGGCTGGCTGAAATTATGAAACCACAGTTTTCTTGCTTTAAAGCTACTTGCATTACTCCGATTAGTTTGTGCAGGAGAGTTCCTGCCCTTGATGCATAGGCATTACTTTATTTGAAGCCAATGGAAGCTTTGGCTGCCTTAAGGATTATGGGTTAAGGCCCTACATTTGTTGTACGCCACTGTATGACCTAAATGAGATTAGAATAATAAATACTGATTTATTATGAGGGCTTTATTTAGACATGTTTTGAGTATGAGGTCTGTGTCAGGATTAATAGTGAAATCTAACATGCCCAGGCACAGAGAAAGCCCAACAATGAAAGGACATTTTTTCCCTTGAGAAAACTGGTTCCCAGCCCTCTGTTTGGCTCTTGCCAGAGTTGCTAAATGTTGAATGGCACAGAGATGCTGGATCCCAAAGATGGTGACGTAGTCCATAACTTGGAGATGAGCCCACACCGAGTGAAGGACGGAAGTATCCCATTGGCAGTATTTTCCAAAGCTAAATACTCATGCTCTGCAATACATTAGCATTCAAAAAGCCTCAAATATAAGGTTTTCAGAATCCAAAGACAAATGAGAGGCTACAGGTTCAGGATTTACTGGTTAATTCATCCATCTTGTTGAGCAGGCACTAGTTTAGGTGCCTGCCCTGTAGATAAACCAGATTCCTGAACATGTTCCAAGGGAATGTCCATTCTTTTCAGCATCCCGGCCACCATCTCTCATCAGGAAACCTGACATCTTGTCATGTAATGCACCAAATCACAATGGCCTAAGTATTAGACACAGAAGGTGTGTGCTTACACCACACAGTTAAATTTCTCTATTCTAATAGCTACATTACTAATGGCTTCAGAGGAATTTTCCTTTCCAAAAAGTTATTTAAATTGAAAACAGTGGACTGCAAGGATGTGAGCTGGTATTTCTGCAGGACATGAATTGAAGAAAGAGGAGGTGTGTTGTGACAAGTTCGGGTGAATTAAATCTTCAAGAATTCCAGAGTATCTCTGTCTTTTGTCTAATTCAAAGTGTCTTAATACTCCCACTGTCCACCAGCTAGTTGATGGATCTTGTTGAACAGCAGATTTCTGCCCCGCTTGTTTTTTGAGTAGAAATAGCAAGAATTACTTCCTTCAAAATGTTGTTGAGTTTTGTAATCGTAGGCCTCATGGAGTGCGGAGCAAAAGACAATATTGAACCAGAATACCATTTTCTTTTCCTTTGGTTTGGCAAGAGGCCTGCCTATCTGGCAGCCTCTCCTGGTATGTCTCAGTTGGGGTGGAACTGGATGGACTCTCACAATTTTTCAGATAACTTTAGGGAAAAGCAACTTTTGAAGAAGGACCAACTTTAAGGTCCAGCTATGATACTTTCTGTATTTGAGGTTTAAACCATGAGAGCCAGGTATTTGTAAGAAACACAATCCAAGAAATCATGAAACCTCAAAAGAATGAAAAACTTGACAGTGTAACTGAGGACAAGCTCTCTGGACTACCATAGTATAAAATCAAAGAAGAAGATGGTTCAGTATCTAAAAAAAATCTTCAATTACTTTATTTTCTTCACTTCCTCGAAGTGCTTCTTTCTGCAAAACCCTTTCTAAAAGACTTTTTGAACTACACACTAGTGGGAGTCATTAGGTGCAGTGTTTTAGCACACAGTGATTCGCTAACAGTCTTGCCAGCAAATTCATTAACTGCAAGTGACATCAAAGACGAGAACTCTGGACCTTTCTGCTCAGGAGCAGGGCAGCAGTTCAACTTGCAGAATCCAGATACTTTATGTTATCTATTTTTGTTCATTTCAAGTCAAATAGCAGTGGGACAGCCTAGCTAAGAAATTTTTGAACCCTCAAGCTCCACTCAAGTTTATTCCTTTGGACAATGCCCCTTAGAAAGAAAACGGTAATGCAAACAAATTGCCTGGACTGGATGAACTTCTTAAGTGCTGGAGAGCTGCATGGGAAGTTTGCTTAGTTAAGAAGTTTCTTGCAATGCTGTAATGTAGTGTTTCCCAACCAACCTTTGCACACCTGCTGGCAAGGACACACGCCTGTGACGCAGTCCGTGTGACCACTGTTCTTTGCTGTCCCTTGGCAACATGTGCAGCAGCTTGCTTTGGCTGTTTGCAACATGCTGCCCACGAAGCCTGTGTTGGCAAATCACACCCACAGGGGCACTAAGGGAAACCAGCAGTTTGATGAGTAGAAATGGATTCCTGCTTCTCTATACATTTTATAGTATACTTCAGGCATGTGGTAGTCTTAAAATCCCTGTGTTTTTTGCTGATGGCATGCCATGGAAGCCTTTGCCCTCATTTAGTAGGTTAAAGTCTCACAGCAGAAACTGTGAAGAGTTGTTACAGGTCACTGATAAAAAGCAACAGAGTGCTTATGGCCACCATGGGTTAGTGTTAGCCACAATCATAATCAGAAAGTCTGTGCAGAAAGCAGAGAGGTGGTGTGTAACCCACTGAATTTATTATCACTGTACTCTGGCCTCTAGATAGTGCATGTGTGCACTGGGGTTGTGGAGATCAAGAGATGTGTAAGACAGACCTATTAGTGGAACTGGAAAAGCTTAAGGTTTTCCTTGTGTGCTAGAAGGAAGTAAGTATCATTCTAGGGGAGATGTTTTCCTGATCTGGGAGACAGAGCCTTCTGTAGTACATATGGAAATATATTTTGTTGTATCTATTCTATTTGTTATACGTATTGTCTAAACTCCTGTCCTGACCATTTCTCTTCCCTGTGTTTGCCTAATGAACTTGATGGCCTGAGTACAGCCAGATACTCTGGCAAACTTGCTTCAGAAACTGCTCAGTTTTCCATGCTCTACCCTGTCAATTTTACTTTTTTCCAGGAAATACACAGGGTCTAGGAGCAGGTGCTAATTTAAAACTAAATCCAAGTTTATTTATGTTGAAGCCATAAAATTATCTTTCTGTGCAAGCTATAACATACCTCTGTACATGTACATAATTTTCAGTGCTTGGACATTTTTTATCCTCTCTCCTCTTTCCCATTGTTCATTGTATGTTCTGTATATTTCTATACACAGCCAAATGGACACAGCCACTCGGTGCTGTGTATCACCCTGCTTCTGTGAGCTGTTTATCCAGGATTTCCAAAGCTGACTGCTCCTGGTAAGGGTCTTAAATTCATATCTTGACACCTTAATAGAAGTGACCTGATTTACAGAAGCGCTGAGAAGCCACAGGTCCCTTTACAGTCAATGGGAGCTGAGTTTGCTTTGCACCTTTAAAATCAAACTGCTTATGTTTCAGTACCTAAACAAGGATTTTGAAACATAGCTTTAAGTGTTCAGTGTGGGTATTTTTAGGGCAGGATGGGCTTCTGTTTGAGATCTTTTTAAAGAACTATCCAAACTTATATATGCTGTATTTATAAGCACAATTATAATTGTCTTTTTCAACAAAATAGTAGTTCTGAACTCCTCTTGGGGTGAGGCATTAATAATGGAAATAATTATTTTAATTAGTGCTCTGTGTCAGTATCAGTATCTGCATACCCTGAACACTGTGTTAGTTCAGTACACGGACTCTTTCACTAGAGGAATCTTTTTTCATTGCTTACCAGATGTGTGGGATCCTCCCTGGTGATTGTTCCAGGTAACAAGCACTTCTCATAATCATTTTACTAAAAATGATAGAACAAAACATGGCAGTGCTTCAGCCACAACCAAGCTATCTTATAAAAACCTTGCTATTTGATGGTATATGACACTGTACATGACCTAAAGGTACATGAAGCATTTCCACCATGCTACAAATGTCTGAACCACTCAGTTTCAGTTCTCACTTCTCAGCCCCGTGAGTCAAGCCCAGCAGCCTGCCATAGCGCCTATTAATTTATAGATTTAATCCCAAAGGCACATCTGCACACTTGTGAGAAGGCACGTCTGGTCAGCTGTTGCCCCGGTGACGGCACAAATGGACAATGACCAGGAAGAAAAGAGCCTGTAGCTACATGTATGCTTTGGTGAATTTGGGTATTGAGGGGGTTTTATTTGTTCCTGTACACACCACAAGCCTGGAGCGGCCTTTTCTCCCATTCTAATGAAATGTCTTATATTAGAAGAAAAAGAAGATAGATACTGAATGTGTTAGATTTGCTGTGCAGATTGTGTATTTCCTTATAAACACAAAGGTTTCTGCAATGCAGAGCTGAACCATTACAGCTTATTACAGTGGTTTTAATTTCATGATTACTTGAAGGTGCATAAAATTATTCTTCATGAAATGCAGCTAAATAAAGTGCTTGCTAAATGGAAAACAAGACCAAAAAAATCACAAAGATATGATATGGCTGCCACTGGGAAAATGTCAGGTACCTGCTTCTTGTAGAAAATGGAACATTACTTAGCTAATTTAAAATCCAGATAAATTTCCTTAGGAAAAAAAAAAACCAGTAAACCGTTCAGGGGCTGGTGGATTTCTTTGTTTCTTCAGAATAGTAAAGGTTTGTGCACAAACATCAGCAAAGGGCAGCTTTCTGAGCTGTTCCCTGCCAACTGCTGACAAAGGCAGTCCTAATGAATCATTCTGAATTGTGATCATGTGCTACCAGCTCACAGCGAGCTGCCAAAGAGGAAGTGCAGCTTGTTTTCTTTCATTTTCTTGATTCCTATGCTGTAGGAAGATGAAAGGAGAAGGAGGAGGCAACAGCGGCAGCCAAACTTAATAAATAATTCTGACGATTCCTGATATCAAATGGAGGCCCCTCAGTGGGACCCACTGAAAAATGACACCCTTCCGCCGACCCTGACGCCAGCTGTCCCTCCGTATGTGAAGTTGGGCCTGACCATTGTATATACTGTTTTTTATTCACTGCTTTTTGTGTTCATCTATGTCCAGCTCTGGCTGGTCCTTCACTACAGGCACAAGAGGTTCAGTTACCAAACTGTCTTTCTGTTTCTGTGCTTGTTTTGGGCCTCTCTTAGGACTGTGCTCTTTTCATTTTATTTCAAAGACTTTGTCACAGCAAATTCTCTCAGTCCCTTCATCTTCTGGCTTCTCTATTGCTTCCCCGTCTGCCTCCAGTTTTTCACCCTGACCCTGATGAACCTTTACTTCACACAGGTAAGCAACAGATATTTGGTTGATTAAATCTGACAGAATGGTAAAGCATTGTTTTGTAAGAATAATGAGAAAAATGTAATTTCCTAATGTACCTTGGCAATTTCAGTTATTTAGTTGGGAATTTTAACTTTTGATCTATGTGCAAGTAATCAGTGTTACAATGAAACTGAAGCCTGAAATGATAATTTCAGGAATGGCAAATAATGTATCTACTGTCTATTAAATGGGTGTCATTTAATGTAAAGGTTGGGGAAAAAAATGTATAGGAGCATTTGAAAGCTGGGCATCCAAAATGCTGTTCTAGTTTTATTCTTTATTATTGTTCTTGTTGTTACTAGACTTGATAAACCTGCTAGCTTAGCAGACCTGATCTCTGTGTGCAGTCGGAACTGTAATTTCTAATTTTGCTGGCAACACCCCACCCCAGTTTTTCATAAGCTGGCTAATGTTTTTCTGAGTGCAGCTTCTATTCTGTGTATCACAATCAAAACTGTTGATCGAGTCCTACTGCAGACCCAAATTCCTGTAATGATCTGTATTACAAATAGCAGTGACTCCAGACCCCAGTAGTTGCTAAGTGCTGTACAGAGATACACCCTCTATTTCAAGGATGTTGTGATGTAAAGATATATTAGCTATCTAGTGGGGTAAAGGAAATAGTACCTCCATTTCCAAAAGAGGTCTTGAGAGTGTGTCTGTGGTACGGACAGCTGAGAAGCCAGATGAGCTAGGCTGCACAGTGCTCCAGGTTGCTGCAGTTAGGCTTGCTTGGAAGTATTTATGGTGAGCTTGGGTATCTTGGCACTGGGCTGCAGGACGGGATATTGGCATGCTGAGGCAAAGGAAGGCTGCTGGGCTTGCCTAAGATCTCACAGGAAGCTTGCAGGAGGGCAGGGACTGGATACTCTATCTCCTCAATTCCATGAGGGTGCCTGGAGCAGGAAGCCAAGCCTGCACTCATATGACCCTTGTCAAAGTCCTCTTTCCCAGTGCAGGGGTAGTTGGCCGGGAGAGTACCAGCCTGTGCTGGAGCACCCCCGGCAGTGCTCAGGATGCTTTGGGTGTTGCTGTGTGCCCCACTTGGAACAGCTCGGTGCCTGGGTCTTGGTGCTTCTGTAGTGCCTACAGTGTTTAACAGCACTCTGTAGTGATTACAGGCCTGTCAATTCTGAACAGCCTGGCTGGAGAAATCAGGCTGCTTGTGAGAGCTGCCATCCCAGAGCTGAAAAAGCAGCAATGGTAAGCATGACAGATGTAAGAGGATCACTTGAGTTGTAGAGAGCATTAAATACTTAGAACCACATACGCAGTTTTGTGCTTAGGTTTACTTTTCTGGATTCAATGTCTGAAACACCTGCTAACTCACCCCTCTTCACTCCCTGGGACTTGAGATATATTAAGGGATTACAGGGACCTTTCATCTACATGCTACTCAAATCCAGCTCAGGCACGGGGTGACCTATGCTTTATCCCATAGTTATTGTGAGAGTCATTTGATAATGGTGCAGTTCCCCAGGGGCAAATGTCTATCATCACACAGTCCATCCCCATCACAGCAGCTGGGACTAAGTCATAGCCCTAGGTCAGATCCTTCCGTCAGACACACATGTAGGGCTGCTGTGGAAGTCTGGAGGCAGAATGCAGCATCCTCGCTCTTTGCCAAGAAGAAGCCAAGGCTGGCACGAGCACAGCGGGGGCATGGCAGTCTGCACTCTGTGTGTTAGAGTGCCAGCACTTGGGGGTTTAGTGTTGCAGGTAACTGATTCCTTTCGTCTGAGGAAGATCTAAAAAGAGAGCATACAGAATGCATACATATGTCCATTTAAGTTATTTTTGGCATTGCTGTCTGATATCATTCAGGAAGTACAAGTCAGTGGTTGGAAACGGAAAAAATGCTAAGGCTATTGGTCCTGCCTTTGAGACAATTTCTGCTTTGTCACCATGAGTCCCCACGACCTTCCTCTCAGCCCCTCTGTAAAAGAGTGTCATGGTTACCTGTCTTGAAGGGTTGTTGTGAGGCTTTTGAAACAGTATTTGCAAGGGACTTTCAGAGTTTGTGATGTGCATCATAATCTTTAAAGATCGTGGCCCACTGTAGATAGGCATATTATTAGTACTGTTGTTTGCTTTAGAGCTGGTTGCTCCAGTGAAATCTCGTCTCAAATATCTCCCCTGCCAAAACAAAGACTTAAGAAATACAAGCACAGCCATTGTAGGGATATAATATAAGACACAGAATAAGTGCACATATTTTTGATTTGCTGTCATTAATTCTTTACTTCAAACCATTGAAAGGTGGTTTGGCTTGAAATTCAGCATCTTCTTGAGCCTGTATATTTAATGTGCATCTAGCTTCCCACAGTAGGCAAGCAAGAACTAGTGTGAAAGGGGTGGGGAGGAGGAACTTTGTTTTCAGTAATGGCTTATAACTTCACAGACAGAAACAACTTTTGTCCTTTTTTCTCTAGAAGGAAGGCAAGAAAGGTCTGCAGCTGTGTTTCATTGCATGAAACCCATGCTATTTAACCAGTGCTTAGCTAGAGGAAAAGAAGTTATCTATGTATAGTGTAGGAACAGAGGACTGGAAGACACCTCATGAGTCTCTCGAATTTGCAGGTGTTTATTATCTGCTGTACAGCACCCAGACATGCAGCACTGCCAGGAAAACTTTTAGACATAGATGTGAGAAGAAAAAGTGATTCCAAAAATATTGCAAATCCTCCTGGCCAAACAAAAATACCTCATCTGCCAAATGCCCGAGGCCATTTTTCAGAATAATAAGCACCTTTGAACTTGACAGAAAGTTAGCCACAACTATTCTCTTTTCAATAGGTATCACAAAGCAATGGGGATGCAAATTTAGACTGTTATTTTATGTGTAGGAAGACAAGTAAGCCATGGTGGCATCAGCACAGCAAGGGTTGTTCCTAGACTTGAGCATCACCATCAGCAGATACAGCAGAAGCAGCTGTAATGCGTTGAGGCAGGTTGCTTAAAGTGGGGGACGAGTGGACAAAAGAGAAGTTACAATCAAACTGATTTTGACTCAGAACAAATCCTAGTGATCTTTGGATTAAGACCCAAATTAAGGGTTCTTCGCTATGGTCTTGATGCCCTACTTAGGGCAGAACAGAAGATAAGGCTGCTGCAGGTAAGGCTTATATGATACTAGCTCCTTTCAGAAATCACATACTGCAGAAAATATGTATGATTTCTAATGAGCATGCTGAATTTATTAGAATTTATTAATCCTCTGTCTGTATTCATTCTCTTCTAAAGAAAAAAAGTAGTAAGATTACCTACGCTCTCAGGATAAGCTTCTGTCTACTTAGAAATCATTAAAAGAAACCTCAAGTGAAGATGACACCCAGTGGCACTTTCGTAAAACAGTAGCCCAACACCAGCAAATACCTGCATCGTACCAAGCCAGAGCAGCTCCCTGATCCTGATCCATCAGATAGGCAGCTAAGCGTGTGTTTCCACCTACAGAGACCGAAAAGCCCATATATATGTTTGCTTCACACCTGCAGCTCCCATGGGTTTATTCTGCTGCTTGATGAAGCTAAGACTGCAAATCAGCAAATAATATATTTTCTACTTTAAGTGACTCCAGGCAGTGAGGATGCCAGCACTCAAGCGCTCTTTTATTTATGTCATGCCTGGCCAAATCTTCCCTGCCCCTGCCAAGGGGAGACTGAGATGAGTCTTCAGGCTTTACAGTCAGTGCTGAGGGCAAAAGTGTAAAGAGGCTGTGGGACATAAAGTAAGAAGTTGCCTTTTCTGGTGTGTGTGTGAGAGGTGGGCAGAGAAGGGCTTGCTTCACTTTGTCCTGTTCGCTTCAGACTTGACATTGCCCTGGGGAACAGGATACAAATGAAGCAGGAGGGAGGCTAGGCTGGAGAGTTATAGGCTCAAAAAACAAGGTCAGGGCCAGAAACTGTGAGCCATAGGGGATGCTGGAAATCCCAGGCTTCCCTTGTGACCAGGCACAGCAAACCATTTGGTGGGCTGTAGGTTTAATCATCAGGTTGGGAGCTTCTCCAGCACTTAGGGAACATGGTGCTGAGCTAAAGAACTGTGAGGCTGTATGGGTGGAGAAGGGCTGGTAGGCAGATTTACCTCTCTTTCCTCCTCCCTAACCATCTTCCCTTTTCACTGGCATCCAGACTGAGAAGCTTACCCTGCCTCCCAGGCAGGGCTGATAAAATCAGGGACTTTCAAATGAAGAGAAATTATTGAGAGTAAGGCAGCTTAGAGGGGAGCTGGCCATGCTGGAAGTGCCTGGCAGGGCGGGGTAAAACTGGCACAAGGCTTTCAGAGAGGTTATGTGTATCTTGGTGGAACTGGGATATGTGTTAGCTCTGGGAAGAAAATTAAGAGAACTTCTCATACTCTCATTACTGGGGATAGCATTTCAAAAGTAATACCACCAGCAAGAGAACAGAGAGGGCTTTTTATTAGGAGAAATATTAATTTTGTAGTAGAAATGAATTCACCATATTTTATAAAGCTTGTTTTTAATTTAAAGCATGCTTTAGATTGTGCATAGAACTACACAGGAGTCTAACTACAGATGGTAAAGCGTCAGCAAATATGTCTGGCGTAAAACGTTGCCCTATAGGAGACAAATTGCAACTGCAGACTGTCTGGCTATCAGCATCTGACATGAAGAATGAGGTCATTTGACTTGGAAAATAATTTTATAGGAAAGCTACACATGCAAGTTTGCTGTGCCTGCCAGTCCCACAATGATCCCTGTCCTTTCAGAACTATTTTTACCAATTTACACAAGGCTGAGTATGGTAGTGAGTCATGTTGCCCATGTCTGTGGGCCCTACCAAATGTGTAGAGTTTAGAGTAGAGGGAAAACTTGTATATTTTGGGGAATCTGATCCAAATGAAAGAATTAAGATGGGAGAAAGAGTGAAAGGGGAAGGTGAGCCTGGGACTGGAAGATACACAGCAGAAGAAAGGCATACGTGCTGATGGAGGGGGACTCTGGGCTTGCACGAGGTTGTGGCGTATTTTCAGGGTGCAAAGAGAAGTTTGCATGGATTGTGAGAGAGGAAGAGAGGGGCCGTGGTGAAAAGAACTGGGAAGGAAAAGTACATGCTCTGCTCCTTATAGAGTTTTTGAAATGAGAACTGGTAAATAAAGCTGAACCATTCCTGTGCAGAGGGCCAGCTTGGGACATATGAAACCACTTAACACATACCTCAGGCTTTGCGGGTAAGCTGAGCTGCGGCTCCTGTAAAAGTGAATTGATCTGCTAGCACTAGAGGTACGGTGGAGGTTTGTGCCAGCCATCATGTCAGTTCAGCTAAATCAGAGTATGGGCTGAAAATTGCTCCAGTGAGATTTTCTTTCTCTTTTGCTCTGGGAGTGTGTGACTTGGCTTTGACACCTGTTTCATTGATAGTCACAGGGCCAGAGTGGCTCCTGATTTAACTTTCAGAACTGCAGCTGGACTCCCCATAAGCTACAGTATCCTGGCCCTCTCTGCCTTCTCTGCTGCCCAGCAGCTCTGCAAGAGCTCCCTGCAGCTGAGCTGCTGATAGGCTCCCATGCCATCCCCACCGCTCCTCTGCTGGGGCCTGCTAAAGTGTCTTTAAGATCAGATGTTTACATCAGTTCCTGCAATGGAAATTTTCCCCGGCTGTATGAAGGGCTTTCTGGAGCCCTTTTGTACTGCTGCAGTTTTATAAGCCAGATATATACCTCAGGGGAGTGGAGGAGGGAGTGTGAGAATCTCATCTGAGGTTTCCAGTTTTTTGGTAAAAACAAGGAGTCGAAACAGGATATTTCTTCTTTAAAGAAAAAGCGAAAGGGGAACCACTTTTAAGAAGAAAAAGTAACCCTTTAGACATTAGAAAATTAGCAAGGAATTTTGCTGAGTTTTCCGTGTTGCTGTTCATCTTGGGGCTCTCTGAAAGGTCTTCTCCAAAAAGTCTGCCTTCTGCTTGCCATTTAGTCTATTCTTAGGAATAGCCTGGTTTGCTCTGATTTGCTGGGAGACTTGCTTAGATGACTCAGATATTGACTGGAAGCTTTCTCAACACTGTTGCGAGGAGGGGCCATTGAGCAACGCGTCTCAAGCTAAATGACTGTTAAAAGCAAAAAGCTGCACCCACGCACATTAAGTATATTGAGATCAGCTTCTGACATCCTTACTCCCACTAAGCAGCCCTTTATTCTGTGACAATCACATTGCTTCCAGCAAGGCTACTCATGAAATAAGGCCCCATCAGTGTTTAAGCAAAGGTGGCAGAACTTGGCTGCCTGTGTTTCTGTCTAGCAGTGAATTTGTAAGAGTGTCCATGCCTTATACTGTAGCTTTCATGCTATGTAGCATCCCTTTTTCATGCAGTATCCATTTGCTTTCTTACCAGTCATTTTGCTATGATAAAATTCAGAAGCATTTATCGGCTGGGACAAGTCCACCAAATGTAGAATCGCAGTAACAGCTCTTTTGGTGATCTTGCATCTGGAAATCCTGCTGGATCTGCAGCAGGAACTGCATGTTTGGTTTTAGCCATGTTATCCATGGAGTTTTTGCTGGGTAGGGCAGTCTTGGACTGCTTTATGTGACAGGACTGCTCTGTGACAGTATAGGGATGAGTGGATCATTTTGGGGGAACCACAGGAGATGTAATTCAGGAACTCGTGAATTTCCTAGGTTTTGTGGACCCAGCACAACTCATTCCCCACTGCAAATTGTTTGTCTTGCGTCGCTCTTTGCACAGGCTTTAAACACTTCTGTTCGGTGCTATTCCTGAAAGCTGTCAAAATTAACGGTACAATATGTGTGAGTAAGTGCTACTCAGAACAGGTGAGGACTGTGGAATGGCCCTAGGGACAAGTTTTACTAGTTTAGTTTCATTGAGGTCAGGAATCTGTTCCCTCCCACTTGCCCACAGTGTCTTCCAGAATAAGCAGGGTAGGCAACAAGTCTTGCACAAAAAGCATACGGGAAGTATTTTGAACCTCATCTCTTCTCTAAAAACTGACAGCCCCTCTTTGTGCACCACAGAAGTGCAGAACATTCACAAGCCTCTTGTAGCTCTCCTTTCAATAGCAAGTAAGTAAAACAACATAAAACTTCTTCCTGAACTCCTGTGAGAATTCAGGATCCAGGAATTTGGAGAATGAATCACAAACATCTTCTGTAAGGGATACTGCCAAAGACATTAACTATTTGAAAACAGTATCAATGGTTGCAGAATATTTTTAGAGGGGTTTTTTACCACCTTTTCAGTTTTTTTCTCAGCTATTATTTTCTAGGGCCTGCTGAAAAGCTCAGTGTTCTCTGCTGGTTCAGCTAGTGCTAAGCAGGCTGATGCATCACAAATATAATTTCCATGTCAAGGCAGCTGTCTATGGTGAATAGGAGTTAAATGACAAGTTGTTCCAGGAGCGCTGGAACAAGTGAAGCCTGATTTTCTCCAGATCTATGTCTCATGCTTGACTTTGAGCTGTTTCTGTAACTGGGGCATTTCTTACAATACTTTGCTACGCAGAGTCTCTCATATTGGGTGATGTGTAGGATCATTGTGCAGGGTTCTCCTCACAGGGGTCATGTATCAGATGCATTTATAGGGTTCCTTACTTCCTTTGGGTCACTAATTTTTAGGAGGGTGATAAAGAATCATGTCTTTGATGCTTCAAATATTTTTCCATCAGTTCTCTGACCAGAGTATTTTAAGATTAGTGGGGGGACAGATAAACAGGCTGACAGGCAGACACATGCCTACACATACATAGTGAGCATGTAAGTCCTGTTTCCTTGGGAAAGTGTGATAATCATAGCAAATATTATGCAAGCTATACTAAAGGGCATGCAAAATCCAGTGAAATGGATAAGGCAGGATAACTTGGGAGAAAACAATTAGAAAACAACTCAGAATAAGTCATACAGCATGGTTTTTTTGTAATACTAACAATCAATGTGCTTTGACATTGGTTTAAATAAACATTTGTAAACTGAGTGTATTTGGAGTATATTATCTTGTGAAAAAGCAGTGATGCTTCCCTGTAATTTTTTTCATAAATAAGATATAAAATATACTAATATATATTTGTATAATTTCTGGCGGTGGTTAAACACCCATGACTGATATTCCCTATCTGCATTGCAGAAAATGTGTCAGTATTTTGTCTTTCCTGTTGCAGCAAGGTAGCTACTGGGCTTGAGTATGAGCAAAAATACATACTGTACAGTGAACAGACAGCATAAGCCAAATATACCTCAGAGTAGAGCAATGAGTTTGGTTCTTGATGACATCCTTTTGGCACTGCAACATGGATACAAGCATATATATGCAATTTCAGGCCAGGGCACTATGACAGGCTTTTCATGTGAATAGAGAATCTGACCCAATATGTCAGTATGAGCTGGTCTATGGTGAAAGACATGTGCTGTTAGGTCATGTAAAAGCCTAATAATTACTTGCCTCTGTGATTACACTGGCATTAGTCCTCTTGTGAATACTGGTACAAAGGACCTTATTCACAAGCCAGAGTAAGTGAAAATAATGGTGTAGACAATTTGTATACAAGTACATCGTGATCGCCTGCTGAGTGGTTTTAATATTTTGCTTAGAGCTTTCCTGCCATGGATAAGCAACAAATGCAAATCTGTTATGAAATGAAACCTATCATTACATTTCTTGTGACCTGTGAGACAGGATTTCTGCAGATCATAGTGTCTTTCTTTACTTATATGTAGCCTATGTTTGATATGATATTTTTCTCTTTTACAGGTCATTTTCAAGGCTAAGTCAAAATATTCCCCAGAGCTACTGAAATACAGGTAAGAACTATGCAAAACATCCAATATGGTTAAGAAGAATAGCCATGCTCCTTGAGAAACCTCTTTGATAATGTGGCACTCATATCTCAGCTATTCATATTTATATACCAGTGTTTTATGATGATGGTTCTGAGGCCAGCTTCTTCCTATGACATTTAGGAATCTGTGTCATTTCCCAACACAAGCACCGTTTTGGACATTCATATATTTTAAATGCAATATTTCAAATGCAAGCAGAAAATTTATCCTGGTGATTTGTTTACAGGTTCTGAATAGTAGTATTGCTAGATTAATTCAGATCCAGTGCTTTGGTAAAGGTAGCAGAGTGATGTATTTATTGTGACAGGAATGAGTGGGACTGGGCATGTATTAATTTGTGAGGTCAGTGATAATGAAAGACTCAAAAGGTTTGGGAAGATGAGAGAAGAGTTGTGAAGGGAAGGAGGTAGAGAGAATGGATTCAACTTGATGATGTGTTTGGGAGCTCACAGATAACTTCCCCCAACTCCATTGAGTTGAGGTTATGGTAGCCTTTCATTTAGGTGGAGAGATTTTTTTGGGATGCTGTTGAGCCAGAGGGGTTGTCAGGAATTACTTGAAAGCTCCCCAAAGGGTAGTAATATCCAGAAAGCTGAGGAAGAGCTCAATTAATGTTTATTGTGGCAATGCCTAAAAGCCTCTTTGAGGCTTTGAGGCTTTGTTGTTTAGACAGGGGGGTAAAGAGAGAGGTTGTATCTCTAAAGAGAAAATTTACAATCTGAAATCAGGAAAGGAAAGCAGAGTAATTTGAAACTGAAATCTGTTATTTGCTGACTGTTCAGAACATAGTACCGTATCAACAGGTCAAATATTAACATTGTCCTTGCTCTGGAGAGTTTGTTATCAAATTGGATTTTGATACAGATGGAGAGGCGATCATCTGGAGCAAGTGCTTCAGAAACCATGTTTGGTGGAACGGTGGTACAATGAGGGCAGGCTCGGGGTGGGCTGTGCTGGGGCTGGTGAGGGTATGGGATGTGCAGGGTGTGGTGGCTGACTGAGGGATGTGGACTCCCTACTGAACCGCAGCTGATGCAGAAATTGTCAGGATGGGAATAGAGAGACTGTATCTGTTTTGGTGGCCTCAGGAATGCTTTCAAGTCAGTGGGTCTCTGTGCGTACCTTGGCCCCATCCCAAACTGCAAGGGGCAAAAGCTGGATGCTCTCTGGTAAAAAACGTGGAGTACAAAAAGCTGGATGCTCTCTGATAAAAACTGTGGTGTACAAATACATTCAACCCCTTGGCACTCTGGTTTCTGTGGGAAGGAAATCCAGGAGTATGGGCTGGCAGACAAGCACAACACACACTATCCAGGTCCCCAGCCAGCCCCCAATGCAGGTGTGCCTGCCCCTGATGGTACACATAGGCAAGAGGAACAAAGAGGACAGCTTTGCACAAAGCCTGGGCTGCAGGTCTATGAACACGTTCTTGGCTGGCTTTAGAGGTGAGAGGTAGAAGCTCATCTGCTACTGATGTTTGTGGCAAGGCTTTATTCCTGAAAACTGCTTGAAAGTGTCTTTCTTCAAAGAAAGGGAGCTTGTGATATTTAGTCAATGCCTATGAAGTGACTACATTAGGACCCTGCATGTAGCTCTTGGAGAGTTTCCATTCCTAAACATTTATGTATTGTGACTGGAATTACTCATGTACAGACTACCGCCCCCACAACAGTTCCATGTCCACCCTGACTCTTGTCTACTGCATTTCTAACACAGATCACTCTTGGATCTGGTCTAGCCTCTTCTCTTATTCAGCTCTGTTGGTAAAGGACTTCAGTAGTATTTTGTTTTAATATCTAGATATTGTACCACGAACATGGTTAGCCTGTGTAAAAGAGCCATATAACTAAAGCTGACCTCGTTTCCTAATTTGTACAGGGCAACTGAAATGGTGTAATATGTGCACACCCACAGTTGAGGTCCTGAATCATAATTGTGACAGGCTAGTGAAAGATGATAGAATCACAGAGTGGTTTGTGTTGGAAGGGACCTTTAAAGACCATCTAGTCCAACCCCCCCATGGGCAGGGACATCTTTCATTAGATCAGGTTGCTAAAATCCTGATGGAGAGATGGATGATAGAAAGATGGATGGCCTACAGACAGGGGCTGGAGTCTGCACTTACTGAATTTGATTTTTCTTCCTTGCTGAATGTTCACTTTTTGATTTTTTTTCCTCACTTTCTTTAATAACTGTCAGGCTGTATGGCCTGGTATTGGCATTTCTGCAATAGATAATGGCAACATACAGAGGGCAACATAGAGGTCGTATTGCGGTCTATGTATCAGAAATCAGAATCATTTCAGATATGGAAAAAATTGATAAAATCCTACCAGAGATTCAGAATCTTAAGCCAACTTTACTCAGCACAGCCTTCATTATGTTAATCACTGTGGCAAAAGAGCTCAAGGCGAAGCCTGTGCCAGCCCAACTTCATATGTAAACAGTCCTGCACATCTCCCCAGGCTTGGGGATTTCTTACAGTCCCTGGGTTTGGATGAGACTTGCTGTGCTGTGTGTGCATGCCTTTTTACACACAAGTGGTATGGTTTCTGAGGAAACCACATACAAAATGCAGTAGTTTAAAACAGATTTTTTGGTTAAACAAGATGAAACTCAGTGCATTCATCTGAAGATCGATTTTAAGCTCAAAGAAAAACTTGGGGTGCATCCAGCCTAACACAGAAAGAACAGAACACCCTGGCATGTGCCTTCCCCAGCTAAGCCAGATTAGAATCATAGAATCATAGAATCACTTTGGTTGGAAAAGACCTTTAGGATCATCGAGTCCAACCTTTAACCTAACACTGCCATCCCACCACTAAACCATGTCCCTAAGCACCTCATCTATCCTTCCTTTAAATACCTCCAGGGATGGGCACTTGACCACCTCCCTGGGAAGCCCATTCCAGAGCCTGACAACCCTTTAGGTGAAGAAGTTTTTCCTAATGTCTAGCCTAAACCTGCCCTGGCGTAACTTCAAACCATTCCCCCTCGTCCTATTGTCTGTCACCAGGGAGAAGAGGCCAACCCCCACCTCACTGCAGCCTCCTGTCAGGCAGTCGTAGAGGGTGATAGGGTCTCCCTTCAGCCTCCTCTTCTCCAGACTAAACAACCCCAGTTGCCTCAGCAGCTCCTTTTAAGGGACTAGCCCCAAAATGGGGATTAGGCACAGTGGGCCTTTGAACAGTCACTGGTGCAATCTGGAAGCACCTCTCCTGCCCTGCCTTTCTATTTTCTAAAAAACCCGTATGCTTACTCATGCCTTGTAGGTGCCCTTGCAGTTGAGCTGTAAGGATACATTCTGCCTTTGAGTTAGGAATGCTTTCTGCAGCTGCAGAGACCCTAAAACTGCCCTGAGAGACACAGCCTGCATCTCCATCAGTGCTTATTCAGAAGCTCAGCAGCAAAGCTTCTATTGTCAAAACAGGCAGCCGTTTCCCCAGCCACATTGTGTTAATAAGGGGGATGGAAGGTCATTATATGAAGAGCTGCACAACTGACTGGCCATGACAGCTCACCCTGGCACGTACAGGAGTATGTGGGCATGAGAGCGTGACAGTGGTTTTTTAGGGTTTTTTTTTTGGTTTTTTTGCTAAAATCCATCAAGGAGGAGCCTGGCCGGAAGCCTCTTAAGCTTCACTGGTTGCAAGCCAGCACCAAGGGCATGCAGGCTACACTGAAGCAGAAGGTCCTTCTGACAACGCTGAGCAAAAAGAAAGCATGTACTTACTGTCCTGCAAGTAGGCAACATGTAAGGGCATACCTTTCCTCATAATCCCAAACCCCACAAGAATATTTTACCTGCAGTACAGTGGAGGAGCAGAGATGAGACTATTAGATAGGCTTTGGGAGGGGAAGGAAAGGAAGACACATGACCGTCACTTAAAGACTTCTGAGATATTAATAAAAGCTGTAAATGTACCACCACCACAACTGCATTCTCCAGAGGAAGCTATGTGAGAGAGGAGCTTCAGGACAGCGGTGCTTCCAACATTAGACTGTGAGGTTTAAAGAAACTACTTGCTGCTTATCCTAAAAAGAGAGCCCTGCCCTGGAAAGTTAAGAATGAGCACAATCTTCTCCCCAAGAGGGAATTTCCATGACTGGCAAGGAAAAGACAACATCCTTGCTCACTGCCAGATATAGCTGAAAAGAAGGGCACTGATTCACAAGCAGGGACTTTCTTAGGCTTTCAGTTCTTCCTGTTACTCATTTAAAAAGTCTCAAAGTTATACCCCTTCCTCTCTTGCTCTCTGAAAACAAGCCAGCTGTGCTTCAGCCTTGTAGCTGGGTTGATGCTATCCCAAAAGGATATGAATGCGTGAAAGAAAAAGATCACCATTGGGCTAAAGTATTTTTAAACAATCAGAATTTGTTTCCCCAGGGACAGTCTGGATGTTTGTTGTCAGCTGAATTCAAAGTTCCCAGCAGGCATGAAAAGCTGTGGCCAAAACCTTTTGTTCAGTGACTGCAAATTATGACCCTTATCAGTAATTGCCTTGGTCAGCAATGATAACGAAGCAAGCAAATACCTGAAATGGAAACATGCTTGCTTTTTTTTTTTGGAGTAAAGAGGAATTAAAAGCAGCTTTCCTTGAGTATGTGGTATACTTATATTGCAAGTATCAGTGTTGGGTAGGTGAGAAAAAACAGATGGAGAAAACCAGTTCAGCTTCTGGGCTTCTGTCTGTCACATGTCTGTTCCAGCTCTGCTCCTGTGGTTGTGCCAACCCAGAATCAATATGCATATTTAAATTTCTTGATGTTTCTTTCAAGAGGCTGCCCATGACCAAGTTATTCGGGAAAAGGGACAGAGATACATGCTGGGGAACCAGTAACTCAGGGTTTTTTCCTGCTGTTAGACACTTCCCTAATTTAACATGAAATCTGACAACAAACATCAGCAGTCAGTGATGCTTCTCATGGCAGTAGTGGTATAGTAAAACTATGGTCAAAACCAGTCCATTCCAGGCAACTCAACCTTATGCAAGGTTTCTCCTCTCAGAGGATTGGTGCTGTATATGAAGTGCACACTCTGAGAAAGTGCATGTGTATTTTAAGTAGTTTTTAAGAACTGTGCTGTTGTTTTTCTACTGCAAACGC